TTCATAAAAGCAAAAAAAAAAAAAAAACAAGGTCCCCCCCCCCCCAAAAAAAAGATAAGCTGTACTTGCCGAAATGTTGCTGGAAAGAAATACTTTGTTATGCAATAACTTTCTTCTTCCCATCATTCTGGCACAGGTTGATCTTAGTCTCATCAACAGACCAGAGGTGGGACCGAGTCGTTGCTTTGCAAGTCACAAGCAAGTCTCAAGTCTTTGCACTCAAGTCCGAGTCAAGTCTCAAGTCAGGACGGGCGAAGTCCGAGTCGAGTCCAAGTCAAGACCGAAAAGTGTCGAGTGTCAAGTCCCGAGTCTTGCGGTTTCTGTTTCGACTCCTTTTCGAGTCCTTTTAAAGAAAGTAATAATATATTTACACAGATCACTGCCGCTCGTTTTTTTGTTGGCCACCTTGTAGTTTTTTAAATCTGAACAACACGATAATTGGTATCATTTTTCTCTCGCCCGTGCGTTGTTCGACAGCTCTTCCACATCGGTCGTCCTGCAATTTGATTGGCTCGATGCAATCGCGTCAAAACAACGCGGGTCTGATTTGATTGGATGTTGTGTGGGTCGACAGCACGTACACACACGGACGCACGCACGTACACAATGAGAGATACAGAGCGCTCCTCAATAACTTACTTTATAATCTTCGGGTTTGGGAGAAAGTATCGAGTCTTGTCGAGTCAAAGGGGCTCGAGTCCAAGTGAAGTCACGAGTCGCTGACGTTAAAGTCCAAGTCGAGTTCCAAGCCTGTTTACATTTTGTCAAGTGGAGTCTAAAGTCGTCAAATTGATGACTCGGGTGTGACTCGAGTCCAAGTCATGCGAGCGCATAATGCTAAAAAAAAAACAGATGTACCAGAATGATAGGAAGTAGAACGTTTGGAGAGGAATTGGAACAGCTCAGGATCCAAAGTCTTCTGTAAAACATAGTGGAGGCAGTGTGACGGCATGGGCATGCATGGCTTCCTATGGCACAGGGATATACTTTCTGCTTCAGATTCAGCTATATGCAGCAAAGTTGATTGGGCGGCGCTCGTTTCTAGGCCGTCCGTCTTTGAGTCATAATCAGGGCCTCCGTGTAGTCATAAGTAAAGTTTGTTGTTTTTTCCTGTTTATATTTCCCCCTGCAGTTGTTACAACTGTTGGCCTGTGAACAGGATTTGTCTCGCAGTTTTACTAACATGTGATAGTGTATTGAACACACCGCAGCACTGTAGAACGCAACGTTAGTCACGCTTCATTGACAAAGGAGTGGAACAAACAGGAAATATAAGAACCCGAGACGACAAGCATCTGATCTTGAAATTAGTTCAGTTCCGATATTCTCGGATTTTCTGGGATAAATATAATTAGTTAAATTACTAAAAAAAAAAAAAAAAAAGCGCATAATGTGTCATTTTAATGTGTATTCACCAATTATCTGTAAAATGTAAATATTTTTTTATAATAATTAAAGTGTTGCATTATGCATTAAACAGTATTCCAATAAGAAATGATCCTGACTGTATAATAAAGTGTCTTTTATTTATTTAGGTACAGTTAATTCATTGAGAAACACATAGTATACATCTTTTTTGCAGAGAAACAATGGTAGTTATTTATAAGTGATGTTTACAGATAAGGAAACAGAAAAATAGGTTTAAAAAAAAATGGACGGTTGACAGTAGGCTAAAAATGAGATGAACATCCAAGAATGACCACTGATCAGGAGATTCATCCATTACGACACACATGACAGTCTTTTTCCGTATAGTAACACCATTCAGTGAAACCACAGAATTTGGGAGGACCACGATAATTGGTCTTAAAATTGACCAAAACCTTGTGTTTATTTAATCCGGCAGCAAACAGCACAATGTCGAGGAAACAATAATTCACATCAGGTCTGCTGCAAGTTTTTCCATTGCTGCCTTGCGCTCTTCGGCTTTCTGCTGCGAGCGCCGCAAGACATTCCTCAGCTGCTGCAGATGATCCAGTTTCAATGCCAGCTCACCTTTTACTGTTTTCATCTGGGTCTCAAGCATCTGTGTGTGATGGAGGGAATTTCTCCTGTATTGCTGGGTAGAGCGCACTTTCTCCTCCAGATCCTCAACTGCAAAAAAGTAGTGAAATGAAAAATAATTATCATTGTAATTTATTTAAAAATTAATTACAATTGTACTTTTAACCAACCCATATTTTCCTGGCAGCCCGCGGTGTCCGAACTCTTCTCATTTTTCCTGTCTATCAGGTCCTTGGTCTGCTGGAGCATCTTCTCCATCTTAACAAGTTCAGCAGCTTTAGTGTCGCTGTCTCTACGGATCTTCACCAGCTCCAGCTCCCTTTGGGTCAGCTCACTATTCCGGCTCATAGCGAGTATTAAAAATGTAAAAAAAAAATCCTGCAAAATGACTTACTGTATGATCTAAACTCCAATCCCAAGTGTGGCTACAACGTCAGATGAGGTCCCTGAAAGTGACTTCAACGTCTGGCGATGGTCCACTTAAGAATATCCCAAAACACCGAAGGCTTGTGTTCCCACTTGCAACGTCAGATGAGAATATCCAAAAACACCGAAGGCTTGTGTTCCCACTTCTGCTCCGCATAAACTGCTGGTCTGTTTTTAAGAGCACTGGGCTCTGGTTATGTGGCTTTTTATAGGTCCTGAATCCCAGCACATGCCTGCAGTCATCAGAGTACAGTGGCCTCTCAGTGTTTAGCGTACACACAATGTTGTCACAAGACAAGTCTCACAAAGCCATGAAGAAAAACTATTTTTTGCCCCTATTTGATTTCTGAGAATACGTTCTATTTTTGTTTCATTTCCAAAGATTTAAAACCAAAAAAAGTGACTGACTCTTTTTTTTTTTTTTTTTTTTTTTTCACAGAATATTGAATAATAATTTTAATCAAATCTTTGGAAGACAACAGTTTGTGTTTTTCAATCAATTCAAAGTTA